TTAGTTTTATGTCATTTTTTCCAGTTTGTTGTCTTTAAAATCAGACCCCTCCAGAAGACACTTAGCAGTGTCTCTGGGCCTAGTGCATAAGGCAGAGATTCCGGTTCTAGTCTGTGGCAGTGTCTGCTGTTGCGGTTTTCTGGGCAAGTGTCACACAAGTCACATAACCACAGCCCCAGGGAGTCCGGCTGCTCCCAGGCTACATGTTTTCCTGACTTAATATTTACGGTACAGAGAAGTAAATTTGTCGCAAATGGTTGGCCATTCAGGGAGAATGGTTCTCTCTCTCGAGTTGTATTTCATTTCTGTGACTATTAACGAGTTTTCTTTGCTTTTCCTACTTGTATTTACCCTTGTTCTTTCCTCCTCTGTGAAATGCTGTCCATCCTCTTTGCTCACTTGTATCCAACGTTGCTTGTCCTTTTCCCACTGGCCCATTGAAATTTTTTACACGTACCAGCTAATAAATTTTGTTGGTAATGGTGCAAATCTCTCCTCGGTTTATAATTTGTGTTTTCATTGTCTTTCCACTATCTTATAGCAAACAGAAGTTAATCTCTATGTTGCTGAATGTCTCAGTTTATTCCTATTAGAGTTTGTGATTTTAGGATCTTATTCAAGAAATCTTTTCTCCCGGGAAGCTTATAAAGGTATTTGTTTGTTTGTCTCTATGTATTGTTGAGGTTCGCTTTTCACATTATGTGCCTCAATCACATGAGATTTGTTTTGTAAAACATCTGAAAAGATCTGTGACTGCCCCGAGCCCGTAACATGCTTTAGAGGCACAGAGTTCACTGCCCAGGCCTCTGCTGCCTGCTGTCACCCCCACTGCCTAATTTCCACGTTTACCACAGGCTTTGTGCTCCTGGGCTCAACTCTGTCCACCTCCTGACTCCCTTTGTTTTTTTTCTGTCTTCTCTCTTCCTGGGTTTTTCTTGTGAATTGCAAAACTCTAGATCAGAGTCTACAGAAAATAGTATTGGGATTTTAATTGCAATTGTGTGAAATTTAGATTTCTTGGAGAGAACAAAAATCTGTATGACTTATCTTTCTTACAAGTGAAATATATATACTGCTCCATTTATTTAGGTATTCTTTAATATTTTTCCATGACGTCACCTTCCCCTCCCCCTTTCTGATTAATTCTACAAGAGCACTGTGCATTTTACTCATCTTTTTATAGAACCAACTCGGACCATGAGTTCATTTTCCACGAATGTTTTCTGTTCTTGTTTTTGTCACCTCTTTCCTTTCCCCGTTTGGTATTTGTTGTGCATTTTCTCCATATTTCAC